AGGAGCTTTTTCAGAATCCTGCCCAACCTGCCTGCTGCCTGGGCCGGGAACAAGGCCTGGGTTTACACCTACAGCAATGGGTGGGTCTCATGCAAGGAGAAAAGAGGAGAGGATATCTTAAAAAAATAATTTGTGTTATACTCAATTAACATTACAAAGCTCAAAGACCACAGAAAACTGCCTCACAGGAGGTCCATGTGGACTAATAGTCTAACATGTACTAGTAACACTTCCCTCAGCTGAAGAGCTTTGTTGCATGTCATCTCCAGCTTTCTCATTTTCCACATACATATTTTTCTGTCACTTTCACTGTCAAATAAATGCAAAATGACAGAAAAAGCAGCCTCATATTCAATATCGCATTTTTCCACTACTGAAAAAAAAAAAAAAATCCTGCGTCAGAAGTGTTTTATAAAATGTGACACTTTGCAACAAATACATTTATTCTGGAACAACTGTTTGGAATTTTCATGCAAAGTACTGCCACTATATAATGCGACTTGAGAATGGCGGCAGTGAAAATGCAGCCGGTGACAATCAGACAGACCATGTTTTTTATTACAATAACATTACCGCACTGGCACCAACCACTTCAAAATAAACAGTCATCATCAGCTTCTTAACATAGCTGCTTTGGAATGGATAATATCTGCTACTTGAAAACCTCAGCTTATTGAAGACATTACAACATAACTCATGTCCATATTTCACTAGTTATACTTCTTCATCATCCCTGCAAACGATTGTGCCTCTCACTGGCATTCCTCATCTCTCCGAGCATGCTGTGCCCAGTCAATCATAGTGTTTCCATTTTCAACAGACCAAATTTCTATTCTAAAAAAGCCTCGGGACACAGTGCAGGCTTTGTGCACAGCCCGTGTCCTGGTGATGGGAATAAATAGCAATGGGAGACCAAGGGAGACAAGAGGAGACAGACATGAGGGCGGAGGAGGCACATGGAGAAGAAGAGACCCTGATGACCAGTAAATTAAGAGCTCTGGATATGTCTGCATTAGTCAGGAGAAACAGGCTCTGTGAAGAATGCTGAGTAGAGTGAATGGTGAGGTGGTTTGGGATTTTGAATCTTTGAGAAGGATCCCATAAGGCAAATATTGACATCTATATTTAAAGAGATAAAGACAATTCTGATCAGCATGACAAGCCGGCTTTGTGTCGCTGGCAGTTTAAATTTTATGTCACAATGTCAGTAATCTCCAGGTTCTCCAGCTTCCTCCCACAGTCCAAAGACATGCAGTTTAGGTTGAGTGGTGACTCTAAATTGCCGTGGAGTGAGTGTGAGTGTGTGTGGTTGTTGGTCTACGTGTCAGCCCTGTGATAGACTAGCGACCTGTCCTCTTGCCCAATGTCAGCTAGGATTGGCTCCAGCAACCCCTGTGACCCTATTCAGGAATAAGTGGTATAGATAATGGATGGATGTCTGTAACTCTCCACTTCCACCCTGGACTACCAAGTAACCTGTAGATGCAACCTGGTGTAAAGGAAACCAGTGTATTTTTTTATTCTATAAGAATGCAGTATATGTCAGTCACTACATTAAGGCCCAGTTTACACTCCAAACAGCCAGACCTCAGAGCCATTAGTTTAGCGGGCCCTGACAGTAAATACAGTTTCTCATAAGTTAATTACACCTTGTAGACAACAACTATTGCCAAATACAAGATGTTTCAGCTGTTTTATCGGAACCCTAGGAGGGTGGAGGAATGAGCTGGGGGTATTTAAAGGAGTGGGAAAGGCAGATGATTTCACTGCCG